ACGACTTGGGGGTGCTCCCGGGTCGTGACAATACCTGGATTATTAATGAATCCTAACTCTGGCCAAAATATGATCATCTTCCCCAACTTAGGGATCTTGCTCACAATGAAATCATGTCAAAACCTTCTCCCAATAGCAATAACCTAGATTCTACGACTTGAAAATCTATTTACAATGTTGGGGAGTCGAATTCTTATCTTTATCAATGAATTCCATGGGAAACTGATGAAAATTTCCCAAAATCGCCCCTCCTAAGTTCAAGAACTCAAACTATAAAAAATAGGGGTTTTGGAATGTTTTCTGCATAAAATCTCGATTCATCTCGCTATAGCGGTGTCACAATGATATCAACTAGCCTTTCTATAGCGTTCTACACACTCCATTGTAGAGAAATGCCTCCCTCTATAGCAATATCAAAAAAAGTTTAGAAATTTAAGCTCTGGAAAAATGTTATTTTTACAACACAAACTCTTCCTTTGATGTCCCGTCATCCCTTTCACGATAGGTTCAATTACGGGAGTTTTACTTACCCAAATTCAATTTTGAAAGGCCTTATGGACTCCTAAATGTATTGTCTAGAAGAATATAACGACCGAACATCTATTCCCCCAAGAATTCAGCTAGCCCAGATTCCTTCAGAGCCTAGCCTAGCCAAAAAAAATGTAAGTCACTACACAAAAAGTTTACTGACCCAATTTCTTTCCCTATTGACCTATTCAAAATGACCGTATCAGGTCGTTACAATAGAAACCAATGTACCCATCACTCATCCACGAGTAACCAAATAAGAAAAACTAAGCTAAAGTAGAAAATGGGCTAGTACCTGAAATGTCAAACAAGTGAGGGTACTTGTATCACATGTCCCTTTTTTTCTCCCACGTAGCTTTTTTAGTTGAATGATGTTTCTAGTAAACCTTTGATTTGATCTCCTTTGTCCTCAGCTTCTGAACATTCTGACCAAGAATCACAATAAGTTCCTCTTCATATCGCAAGTCCTTGTCCAACACAATTGAGTCCCATTTAATGATATAGTCTCCATCTCCATGGCCTTTCTTTAGCATAGACACATCAAACACTGGATGAACCCCAGATAGGTTGGGTGGCAGTGCTAACATGCAATCCACTGGCCTCACACCTTCAAGAACCTCGAATGGACCAATGTAGCGAGGGCTAAGATTACCTTTCTTACCAAACATTATGGCTCCTTTCATAGGTGATACCTTCAGTAGAACCTGATCACCGACCTGAAAAGTCATGTCTCTTACCTTGCGATCTACATACTCCTTCTACCTACCATGGGCTGCCAACAAATTAGCTTGAATCCCCCTCACCCTTTCCTGATCTTTCCTAGCCAAGTCAACACTTAAAGGATTCACGTCCCCAACCTCAAACCAGTCTATGATCGATCTGCATCCCCTCCCTTATAGTGCCTCAAGTGGTGCCATATCAATGTTGGAGTGATAAATATTATTATAGGAGAACTCACATAAAGGAAGAAATTGATCCCAATGGCCCCCAAAATCAATTACACATGCTCTCAACATATCTTCCAATACCTTAATAGTCCTCGTTGACTGACCGTCAGTCTGTGGATGGAAAGTAGTACTAAAAGTGAGTTGAGTACCCAATGTCTCATGTAGCTTACCCCAAAACATCAAAGTAACGCGGTCTGAGATGATAGAGAGAGGCACCCCGTGCAACCTAACTATCTCCTTCAGATAAATCTTTGCCAGCCGTTGAGAGTTGTTATCCACTCTAACTAGAATGAAGTGGGATGATTAATTCAACCTGTTAACAAAAACCCAAATCGAATCAAATTTACCCAAAGTCTTGGGCAGTCCTACCATGAAATCCATGGATATCCTCTCCCACTTCAATTAGGGAATGGGCATCATCTGAAGCAAACCTACTGGTCTTTGATGTTCATACTTTACCTGTTGACAATTCTTGAACTTGGAAACATATTCTGCAATGTCTTTCCATTCCACCAATAAAGTTGCCTCAAATACCAATACATCTTAGTCACACCTGGATGAATAGAATATGGTGAACCATGAGCCTCTGCCAACACATTCTAGATCAACTTATCAACATGAGGGAATACAAATCCTTGCTCTAAACTTGAGCACACCATCAACATCAAGTGTGGCATCTTAGGTCTCCCCATACACCACCTTACCTTTGAGCCTAGCCAACTCTTCATCCTCAAATTGTTTAATCTTGATTTTCTTTATGAAGGTGGGTGTGACCTCAATATTGGCTAGAACCCCACCTTTCTCGGAGATTCCCAACCGCATAAACTTAGAGTCCAAAGTCTGAATCTCTTTAGCAAAAGGACACTTTGATATTCCAAAGCAAGCCAAATTGTCCATGCTAACCGTCTTCCGGCTCAATTTGTCTTCCACCATATTAGCCTTACTCGAGTGCTACTAAATGGTCACACCATAATCCTTGAGCAACTCCATCCATCTCCTATGTGTCTAGTTTAGACCCTTCTTAGTGAACACATGTTGGAGACTGGGATGCTCAATGAATACCTCACACTAACGCCATATATATAGTGCCTCTAGTTCTTGAGAGCAAACACCACTACAACCAACTCCAAGTCATGGATGGGGTAATTCCTCTCATGAACCTTTAACTTTTTTGGAATCACAATCTATGACATTCTTTTCCTGTATCAACACAACACCCAAACCAAAATGTGAAGCTTCACAATAAACAATGAAATCATAATCTTCCACCAGCAAGGTCAAGATTGGCGTTGTAGTCAAAAGATCCTTGAGCTTTTGAACGCTTTCTTCACATTTATCTGACCACTCAAAAGGTACCTCCTTTTGATTCAACATGGTCGTGTTTAGCAATAGAAGCAAAGTTCTTTACAAACCTGCGATAATAGCTAACGTGCCCCACAAAACGTCTCACCTTTGTCACAAAGCTAGGCCGAACCCAATTCTTAAATGTATGAATATTTTTGGGATCTACCATCATCCCTTCTTTTGAAACTGCATGCCCTAGAAAGCAACCAAAGTTAGCTAAAATTCGCACATAGAAAATTTAGCATACAATTCTTGTTTCTCCAAGATACACAGAACAATACAAAGATTTTTTGCATACTACTCCTCCCCATTGGATTAAATCAAAATATTGTCCTTAAAAACAATCATAAAGAAATCTAAGAATGGCTTAAGCACCCTATTCATCAAACTCATAAACGTTGCACGCACATTAGTCAATCGAAATGACATTACCAAAAACTCAGAATGCCTATACCGGGTCAGGAAAGATTTTTTAGATATATACTTAGTCCCAATCTTTAACTGATGGTACCCTGGCCTCTAATAAATCTTAGAAAAGACAAATGCACCCTGCAACTGGTCAAACAAATTATATATGTGATGCAAGGGATACTTATTTCGGATGGTAACCTTATTCAACTATCGGTAATCTATATAAATCCCCATACTACCCTCTTTCTTTTTTACAAACAAGACAGGAGCACCCCATGGAGAAGCACTAGGACTAACAAATCCCTTATCAAGCAATTCCTGAAGCTGACTCTTAAGCTCTCTCAACTCTACCGGAGCCATGCGATAGGGAGGAAATGATTGGTCAGTGTCCGGCTCCAAGTCAATACAAAAGTCTATGTCCCTATGTGGGGCATACCAGGAAGATCGGTGGGAAACACCTTTGGAAACCCATAAAGTATAGGGATAGACTCAATGAAAAGAGACTCTGCACTAAACATCCCAAATATGAGCCAAATATGCTAAACCATCCTGCCCTACAAGTTTGCTATCCTGATGGAATGATATGATCTTTAATGGCTTAGGCTTGTACACCCCTTCCCACTCCAACCTTTCCCTCCCTGGTATCTCTAGAGTCATTGTCTTAGCATTACAATTTAGTGCAGCAAAATAGGGGGACAGTTAAGTCATTCCCAATTGGATTTTTTAAGAATTCACAATATAATTTGAACTTCACTTGAATTTTTTAAAAGTGCAATATATTTTGAAAATGTATGTTTTATAATTAGTAAATGATTCAAAATTGATGGCATTATAGTAAGCGTTAAAAAGTTATTCTTCTTAGTAGAAAAAAATGATAAAGTTCAAGCATGATAGGATTCCTAACTAAGAAAATTTCTTCCTAATAAACTAAAGTATTATTTTAAAAAAAATATATTATAATTTTAGTTAAATGAGTATGATGAATTAAATAAGTCTATTAAAAAAAAGATGAGCTTTAATGACATGACATGTCAAAGAGAGAAGGAGGCTTTTGAAGTGTTAAATATTTTTTTTAGGAAAATAATAATAATTGTGTAATAATTTGATCCTAAATAAAATAAAAAATGATATTTGAAGACAATTTTTAATACTTGAGTGAGTGACCATTTAAGAAATTAACTCTCTTTATTAGCATGATCAACCCAGGCCTAGGGGTGGCAAAATCAAACCCAACCCGCCCAACCCATTTAATTTTATGCGGGTTGTTGACCCATCTATTCATGAGTTCAATCCATTTCAACCCATTAAAAGTTGGATTAATATGTTACCCGAATTGACTTGTGAGAAATCTTATCAAAATATTTTTAAAAAAGTTTTTTTTTCAAATTTGATATGTTATATATAGCCATAATAAAGAAAAATAATAATTTTATTAGGTACTAAAATATTTTAAAAGGCTAAGTAAAACAATTTAGTGTAACTTACAGAAATAGCTATAGTTTTAGCGTTATTAGATTGAAATAGCTAAAAGTATCATATTTTTAAAAAAATAGCTACACTTTGTGTTACAAAATGG